CTAACATGTTCTACACAGCCCAATATCAAACATATACCGTGGGTGAGATATGCTACAAATCGACTCTAACATGTTCCACACAGCCCAATATCAAACATATACCGTGGGTGAGATATGCTACAAATCGACTCTAACATGTTCCACACAGCCCAATATCAAACATATACCGTGCCTGTGGGTCAGATATGCTACAAATTGACTCTAGCATGTTCCATACAGCCCAATATTACCAGGTGGCACTGGGAGGGAACCTCCCCCACACACGCATATAAATATTGATTTTTGAGGGCCTGGATGAAATCTTGCTCCTCTTTGCAAAATCATGGGTCACCACGCCTCTGATTCATTCATACCAGGGCGATGATTTGAACTTGGAGTTCAGAAAACAAAATAATAAATTATTGTTAGATTTCTTAACTCTTCAAACTTTTTGATTGGCCTTAATTCTACTTTCATTTCTATTTGTTTACAGTGATCCCTCCTACCCTAGACTTGGTCAACTAGTTATTGATTATGATCCTCCCATGAAGAAAATGGCTGAAGAATTTGTTCCACATTCCCGGGTAGGTACCGCTTTGATCAGAATCTCTGTGTCTATTTTGAGGTCAATTTACGAAAGATCTGGTACCGTATCTAAAGGGATAATCAGAAGTGGTTTGGGTACTCCTTAGGCTTTAAACTATAACACATACTTGTGGAAAAGAGCTGCTAATATATTTATTGACATTTAGTAACTGGATAGAATATTAAAGATCACCGGAAAAGCTTCATAATTTTTTTAATAATGCAAGTAATTATGTCAACATATCCTTTCCATAAGTATAACACAATCCTGAATGTCAATGTTACCTGCCACAGGTAAATTTCAACGTTAGCAATTTCCTCCGTTCTCTCTCTCTCACACTCTCTCTCTCTGTGTCCTATTCATATTCTGGAGTCACGGTGACTAAGTGGTTAAGACGCTGGCTCGCTAGCCTGGAGGTCGGGTGTTCGATCCCTGCATTGGCCGAGAAAGTTCATCCAGATTTTCCGACGTGGTTTCCCCTTGTCAGTGGTGGTGAACGGAGGGTCTGACAAGGATAGCTGTCTAGTCCTTCGGATGAGACGTAAAACCGAGGTCCCGTGTATATATTGGAATGCACGTAAAAGATCCCCTGGCAGTTGGAATTCGATATAAGAGTAGGCGATAGAGCCACTGCCCGGGCAAAATTTTCCTCATAGCACACTGTATGGCGTATGCCCGTCTTCATTAGCCCAGTATAGGAGCAGAACAGTAGGACGTTAAACCCCATTAGGCTTTGTCATTCAACCCAAATAATAACAGATGATTTTTGTAAAACAATCGAATTTCTAATTTTCCAAGAGGTATGTTTATTCTTGATTAAATTTGAATATAGTTGTAATAATATTTGTATTATTTCAGTTTTTGAAGCCAGCTATTTTATCACTACATAAGATTTATCCTAAACGTAATTTACCCGCCAGTCAGATGAGATCGTTACAGATACTGAGTCTTCTGTCCGAACCACTGAAGATGTCCAGCGTTCCTACAACTGATACGGTTAGTATTCATGTTTATATTTAAATTATGTACAGTATACACTGTATCCCTGGTTATCTAGCAGCTAAATCTGCCTATTGCAGAGTTGGATGGCCGAATGGTTAGTGCGTGCGCATTGTATCATAAGGTCTGGCATTGAGTCAACTGGCGTGGTTTCGAATCTCCGGTCGCCAGTCCAACCTTGTTGGTTTTCTCCGGGTCCTCTGGTTTCCTCCCACTGCTAAAGACCCCTACACGCAAGCGAATTATTGAAATAAAATTAACCCATCTGTTAGTCCCGAAATGACCTAGTTTGTGTCGAGTGGACGTTAAACCCCATTTCTCTCTCTCTCTCTTATATTTAAATTATGTACAGTATACGCTGTATCCAAGGTTATCTAAGAGCTAAATCTGCCTATTGCAGAGTTGGATGGCCGAATGGTTAGCGCGTACGCATTGTATCATAAGGTCTGACATTGAGTCAACTGGCGTGGTTTTCGATTTCTTGGTTGTACGTGAGAAGGAGTAGGGTCGCTTGTCCAACCTTGTGGGTTTTCTCTGGGTCCTCGGTTTCCTCCCACTGCTAAAGACCCCTATGCACAAGCGAATTATTGAAATAGAATTGAACCATATGTTAGTCCCGAAATGACCTAGTTTGTGTCGAGTGGATGTTAAACACAATTTCTCTTTATGTATTGCAGATCTTTATTTTGGCCTCAAATGTTATATAAACTACTGTTTAGACATTTATTAACATGACAAACCCATAATCAACTCTCTAGACTATCGGATGGCAGAGATTTAAATGGATTTGAACATCACCAAGATTTGAAAATTTAACAATAAAATGAATAATTGAGACATAGTCTCATTTGTCCAGTTCCGTTGCTACATTCTTCTGGTTTTGCACAAAAATGAAATTGATCAATATTGCTATTTTCGGAAACTTTGTTGTATATTAAAATTAAAGATACATTATGGGAGATAAGATAAAGAGATGGCAGTTCTCGCTATAATAGTTAAAAACTAGATAGTGTAAAGGTAATTTGCTGAAAATTTCAGTCAAATTGATCCACTATGAGCAGAGAAAGAAGCCGGTGAAATTTTTGCATAGTCTCTGTTATCATTACTAAAATCATTAATATAAACAGCATAGTCTCGATTATCCACTTTTTCTGATTTAATTACCTTTGGCCGTTAGCGGCATATAGGAATCTAATCCAGCCTACATCGAAGGCTAACCTTGACATCGAGTGTTTAAAATGGTCTGGATAAGTTAATTAATGTCTAATTGATAATTTAGATAACATTTCAGGCCTAAAGAAAGACTTGTAATAAGCAGATTTTGCTCTTGCATAATGCATGTTTAATGTGAATTTTAGGGTTGTAATTTTTAATTGTATTTAAACTTGTATTTATTTAATATTTCAGATACAATGTGATTATTTATCACTAGACACCATGGAAAGATGGCTCATCTGTAAGTTTCTTTTTCCCCAATCAGAAAAAAAAACCTCATATTGTACAAAAACATAACGCAGAACACAACTCTCACTTACAACTGTCGAATATTTTTCCAATGTGCAGGCGTGACAGGAAGTGCCGTAAAAATAGCTTACAGGATATTCTTTATGGGTCCGTAAAAATAGCCCCTTTGTTTTATTTAACGTATGTGAATATTGTTTGTTTTATAGTTGGGTTGATGTTGTGTTATCAGCATCTATCAGAAGCTCAAGTTTGGGATATGTGGAAGATAGCATTACAATCTGGTTATATCATACAACTATGTCGTGATGAGGTTTTACATATTCATAGCTACGTCGTTAGTTTCTTCGACAGTTTAAAAGGGTGAGTGACAATTCAAATATTCCAGAATAATATTAAATGGAAATTTAATGTCCTACTTTTCTGCAACAAAAAGGTTAATGAATATGAACCTGATTACCTCCCTTCAACCCTGAGTTAATTAAATCTTAGAAAGCCCAAACAGTGCAGTATTGTTTTGGTGTAATTGCATCCACCATCCTACCAGTGACCATTTATAGCTGGGTAGATTAGAATACAGTGACAGAATGTCTTATATATGGACACAAGAATGTGGCACACAATTTGAGTCTCAAATCTGCAACCGTCATACATACAACTCTTTAACTGTTAGGCTAAATGAGACATAATTGACATCGGATGTTAATCAGATTGAAAAATAACCGTAGATTTTTCAAGACTGGTTTTATTAATTTCTACCTTGTATTGCTGTACCGATGTTGCGGTTACAGCCACAGGCAACTGTAACGTAGAAAATATTTAAAAAATAACATGGACATAACAGACTTTAGACATATACTTAGTCTTAGTTTGATGTTATTTTTAAAATATTTTCTATGTTACAGATGCCTGTGGGTACAGCTATATAGAAGAATTTGGTGTTCATTGCCTATTCAACGTTTTTGGATATGTACAATGTCTAAAATGCGAAATCCGTGAGAAATAGGATAATAACTGTACTACAACTTGTGAATTGCTTTCGGGGATCACGTGGCTAAGTGGGTAAGACGCTAGCTCGCTAGCCTGGAGGTCGGGTGTTTGATCCCTGCATTGGCCGAGAAATTTCATCCACATTTTCCGTTGTGGTTCTCCCTTGTCAGTGATGCAGGACGGAGGGGCTGACAAGGAAAGCTGTCTAGTCGTTCGGATGGGACGAAAAACCGAGGTCTCGTGTACACATTGGCGTGCACGTAAAAGATCCCTTGGCAGTTGGAATTCGATATAAGAGTAGGCCCTAGTGCCGCTGTCCGGGCAAATTTCCCTCATAGCACACTGTATGGCGTATGCCCGTCTTCATTAGCCCAGGTTAGGAGCAGAACAGTAGGACGTTAAACTCCATTTCATTTCATTTTATTTTGTAAATTGCTTCAGGCAAAATCAAAAGTTACATCTGTAATGTTTCGTCCACTTAGTCTTCTTACCTGAAATCTGGTGCACTTGTAGTATTAGGTTCCTACTTTACTGCTGTTATGAATTGTTGATCCTATTTTATTTTTATTTTTATTTTATAATTTCAGACATAATATTAATCACAAGCGAGTTACAGAAGTAAAGGAGTTACAACAACATGCTCTATCTAACTCGTAAGTTATAACAACATGTTCTAACTAACTCGTAAGTTACACCAACATGCTCTATCTAACTCGTAAGTTACACCAACATACTCTATCTAACTCGTAAGTTACAACACCTTTCTCTATCTAAATCGTAAGTTACAACACCTTGCTCTATCTAACTCGTAAGTTACAACACCTTTCTCTATCTAACTTGTAAGTTACAACACCTTTCTCTATCTAACTCGTAAGTTACAACACCTTTCTCTATCTAACTTGTAAGTTACAACACCTTTCTCTATCTAACTCGTAAGTTACAACACCTTTCTCTATCTAACTCGTAAGTTACAACACCTTGCTCTATCTAACTCGTAAGTAACAACATCTCAACTGCTCAATCGAACAGGTTCTATTTTCACGAGATCAGGCCCTGGTTTCACAAAGCCTTCTCAGACTTAAGTTAAGAATTTACTCAACTTTCAATAACTGTTTATGAGAAATATCTTTGCCCCAGTAACACAAAACTTTGCATATAGTTGTATTTGATGCATTAAAACAACCAAAGTCTTATAAAGGGCTTTATTTTTGTTAAAATAAGGCAAACAACTTTCAAGTAAAGTCTTAACTTAAGTCTGGGAACTGGGGAAAAATTTCTTGAAGGCATCCATATTAGTTTTTGTCTCGATCAAAGTTTTCCCTTCGGATAGGCATATCTTTGTGGCTATCTTATTTTCGAGACACAGCTACTATGGGGGCGTATTTCTACGCTTTGCATGGATGTCTTTTAATTATGTCATTTTTCCTTTTCTTTTCTTTTATTTAGACCTGCCACACATCGTGAAATGAGAAAGTTTCTAAGAAGTACTCTTCGAGAATTAACTCTGATCTTCACAGAACAACCGGGATTACTTGGTCCAAAGGTATTTTAATTGTTATATTTATTGTGAACAGGACAATGTGATATTTAGATATCATTGAAATGTTTAAAGTTAAAGGGTGGGGGTGGGAGGAATGGCGTAGCCTAGTGGTCTCGAGTGTTGTGCTTTGAGCTTAGCTCGCTGGTCACCTCCAGCTTGCAGTCGTTGTTTCTATCTCTGGTATGAGCTTATGTGGCTTGGCAACTTCTCAATCTTGTGGGTTTACACCGGTTACCACGGTTTCCTCCCACATGAAAGACCCATATGCGAGCGCTGTCACCCGTCGGTGGAAGCAGACGTTAAACACTAATAGAAGAAAAAGAAGTTTAGAGTTAAATGTGAAAATGAGTTGTGATTGATTTTTTTCCTACAGGCGTTGTATGTAGTACAGGCTCTATCAATGACAAGAGATGAAGTAAATTGGTTATTACGACATGTTTTAAATCCTCCATCAAAACGACATAACATCAAATTATCACAGGAAGATTTCTATGATAGGTGGGTGATTAGGTTCTTAAAATAAATGCTTAAAAAGTACTGTATTGTTCAGTAGATTAGGCGTATGCGTACACAAGGCACATGCTGAGTTTGTCAGAGGTGTTCCATGACAAATAGAAATCTCATGTTTTAGGCACACCCTTCTACGAATTTAATACTAAAGTACACTGAAATTTGGTGCCTGTGTGAAATTCTCAAACAAAGGATAAGTCAAGACGAGAAATTAATGTTAGCTGCCATATCCTGAACTTTACCCATGATGAACATTGTTATGATTCCACATCGATAATTTATTTATTTATTTATGAGTGTTGATTTTTGTGACAGCTACATAGAAAAGAATAACATTTTGAAATTTGATTGAAGACAATTGGTCACATTCCAGCTTTCCTTTTTTTGTTTCTTGTTATATACTACATCGAAGGGTGGGCAAACAACCCATTTACATATAATCTGCGTTATATTTTCTTTCTAAATTATGTGAATTTCTCTTGTATGATAACAATTCCTGAAAAGCAACGGCCCGAACCTCTGCAGATCTTCAGCAGCAAAACGTCAATTCTGCCCAGAACACAAGGCATGTAGAAAGTGACGAGTCACTAGACTATAAAAATTTCGTTAACTGATCATATAGAAAATGTAATAATAAATAATGTTTGTTTGTTTCTTTTGTTCCCGTCTTCATTAGTCCAGAATAGTAGGATGTTAAACCCCATTTTATCTTTTTATTTTGTTATTTTAGACAATTACCCGAATTATTATTTTATACAGAAGAGCTAAAAGGTGAGTAGAGAATACAAGAACATGCATTCATACACCATGATTAAAATTACAATTAAGATCATTCATATACCATGATTAAAATCATTCATATACCACGATTAAAATCATTCATATACCAGGATTAAAATCACAATTAAGATCATTCATATGCCACGATTAAAATCTTTCATATACCACAATTAAAATCATTCATATACCATGATTAAAATCATTTATATACCACGATTAAAATCATTTATATACCATGATTAAAATCATTCATATACCACAATTAAAATCATTCATATACCACGATTAAGATCATTCATATACCATGATTAAAATCATTCATATACCACAATTAAAATCATTCATATACCACGATTAAAATCTTTCATATACCACAATTAAAATCTTTCATATACCACAATTAAAATCATTCATATACCACGATTAAAATCATTTATATACCATGATTAAAATCATTTATATACCATGATTAAAATCATTCATATACCACAATTAAAATCATTCATATACCACGATTAAGATCATTCATATACCATGATTAAAATCACAATTAAGATCATTCATATGCCACGATTAAAATCTTTCATATACCACAATTCAAATCATTCATATACCACGATTAAAATCATGATTAAAATCATTTATATACCAAGATTAAAATCATTTATATACCACGGTTGAAATCATTTATATACCAAGATTAAAATCATTTATATACCACGGTTGAAATCACGATTAAAACCGAGTTGGCTCTCTTAAGATTTCATCGAATAACCATATCCTAACAAATTCCATAGAAATTCCATCGATCTATGCTTTCCGTTATGTAAATGGTACAATTATTTTCTATTTTCTTTTTTCTCGTTTCTTTTTCTGTACAGAATCTGTTGACAAGACAGTTCTACATTTCTTTGAAGTTGAACTTTTCACCATTTTGCGATTAACGATAGGCTGATCGCCAGTCTGTTTATATTGTCGGATGACATGATGATATTATAGTACACCATCCACCATCTTAACATTTCCACGAAATCTAATTGAGGGCCCTGTTTTTAATTCAATTGATTGTCCTCGAGATTGTCTAGTGTTGAGATTTGATTTTAAATGTTAAATAATCAATCTGAGTACATATTAGCATGGATTAAGTTGTGAAAAATTGGATATTGTAACAAAAAATGAAAATCATTCACCGTTACTTGAATAATATACAGTATTGATGTATAATTTGTAGGTTTAATAAAGATATACTAATATACAGTATTTATGTATAATGTATAGGTTAAATAAAAAAAATATGATAATATACAATATTTATGTATAATTTGTAGAGCTAATCAAGATATAATACTATACAATATTTATGTATAATTTGTAGGTTAAATAAAGATATAGTAATATACAATATTTATGCATCATTTGTAGGTTTAATAAAGGTATAATACTATGCAATATTAATGTATAATTTGTAGGTTTAATAAAGATATATTATACAATATTTATGTATAATTTGTAGGTTTAATAAAGATATAGTAATATACAATATTTGTGTATAATTTATAGGTTAAAGATGTAATAATATACAATATTCATGTATAATTTCTAGGTTGAATAAAAATATGATAATATACAATATTTGTGTATAATTTAAAGGTTTAATAAAGATATAATACTATACAATATTTATGTATAATTTCTAGGTTAAAGATGTAATAATATACAACATTCATGTATAATTTCTAGGTTAAATAAGAATATGATAATATACAATACATGTATTTGTGTATAATTTAAAGGTTTAATAAAGATATAATACTATACAATATTTGTGTATAATTTATAGGGTTAATAAAGAAATACAACCAGGTTATACAGAGATATTATGTACAATATTTAAGTGGATATGATGCAGTTTACCTGAACCAATTGATACAGGTAAGTGCAGGATGGGGAGGGCCTGGAAAAGGACAATGTATAGTCATTTGGACTTGACAAAAAAACAAGGTCTTGTGTGCACATTAGCATGATATAAAAGAACATTTGGCAGTTTGAATTTGATATAAGAGTAGGCCGAAGCGCTGCTGTCCATGCAAAATTTCCTTCATAGCACTGTATGGTGTATGCCCATTTTCATCAACCCAGCCGGAGCAGCACATTAGGACGTTAAACCCCAATTATATTTCATTTTAATACAAGTAAATAGTCTTTCAATGACATTTAGCATAATATAACACAACACAGGCCTATAGATAACAATCACTATATACACACATATTTTATATTTTAGAATCTGTCGATGTGTCCAGAAGATGAGTCGGTTATTTTATCATCTTTTTACAGCGGTATATCATCTCTAACAGTTAAACAAGGTTAGTACATTTAACACCGGTAATTATGATGGCTGACCAAGAACATGTACATGTAATTAAATCTTACTAGAAAAATACTGGATTCCTCAAAAAACACCCATGGGGCACCTACAGGATGCAGATGTAACTGAAACGTATAGCAGACTGCGATTAAATGGCAGAAAAAGAAGTTGGTAGAGGATAATTGAAAAATTTTCTTTAGGCTTCGATAATTAGGGTAAATGGACGACGAGTAATGACATATGCAAGCTGAATGGATTCTCCCTCAATCAGGTTAAATGAAAATCATGGCTGCTTAAATAGAGTTTTACGACTTGAGGTGGTTTTCTTGAAATTAAAATGTTTTGAGAGGAATTTGAAACAAATTTTGATAGATAAATTAATTTGAGTGTGTTTGAGTCAATTTATATCATTAAATCACACATATTCCTTGTTTTGTATTTATAGTTGAAGAAAATGAAATATTTGATTTCCGTGGTCTGAGATTAGATTGGTTCAGATTACAGGTATGTGAGTTTATTTTAAGATTATTTAGTCATTGAGTCAAGTGGCGTGGTTTCAATCCCACACTTGTACATGACAAGGAGTGGGGTTGCCTGCTTAACTTTGCGGGTTTTCTTCAGTTTCTTCCCACTGCTAAAGACAAATTATTGTATGTTAGTCCCTAAATGACCTAGTTTGTGTTAAGTGGATGTTAATCCCCATAACTCTCTTTGATAAACGGTTACTGATTAGATTAATAGCAGGACTGAGGTTGAGACTAAACGTCAATGATGTTAGTCAGTCAGATGGGGTGACAAATCTAGGTCATGTGTACACATGCACATAAAAGATCCCTTGACAGTTGGAATTCGATATAAAAGTAGGCCGTAGCACTGCTGTCCAGGCAAAATTTCCCTCATAGTACACTGTATGGTGAATGCCCATCTTCATTATCCCAGTCAGAGCAGAACAGTCAGACATTAAACCCCATTTCATTATCTGATGTTTATATTTTTCTTTACATTTCAGGCGTATACAAGTCTAAGTAAAGCAGCGCTTGTTTTAAAAGATCATCAAGATTTAGCGATCCACATGAACACAATCAACTTCCATACAAAGATGGTGGATTATCTCGATGAACTTCTGATAGAAACTGGAGATTTATCTATTTATTGGTATGTTAGGACTTTTTAGGGAGGGTGGATGGCCGAATGGTTAGCGCATGCGCATTGTATCACAAGGTCTGTCATTTGAACAACTGGTGTGGTTTCTATTCCCTGGTTGTACGTGACAAGGAGTAGGGTCGACGTGCCCAACCTCGTGAGTTTTCTCCAGGTCCTCTGGTTTCCTCCCACTGCTAAAGACCCCCACAGGCAAGCAAATTAATTAAATAAAATTGAACCTTGTGTTAGTCCCAAAATAACCTAGTTTGTGTCTAGTGGAGGTTAAACTTTATTTGTCTTTCTCTTTCTCAGAACTTTTTAAATAAAATTTCCTCGATTTGATCTTAGTATAGATTCTTTTGATCAAAACTTTTCTGTCATTAGATGAAAGTACCAGTAGAATATGTTTTAATGATATTTAGTAACTGAACTGGACATTCACAATTCTATGGAATACAATTATCATTTATTATCAAGAAAATGATAGAATCCTACAAAGATGATGGTTATCTGAATTATTAATTAGACATTAATTAACTTATCCAGACTATGATCAACTCTCGATGTCATCACTAGCCTGCGATATTTATTGGATTAGGTTCTGATTTACTGCTCAACTTTCATTCATGATTTAATCAAGAAATGGATAATCAAGACTATATTTTTTATCGTACCGACTTTAGTTATGATGATCAAGGCTAGGCCGAAATTTCAATTGCTTAATTCTCGGTTCAGAGTGGATCAATTTGACTGAAATTTTCAGCAAATCCCCTTTACATTATCTTGTTTTTAGCTATTATAGTGAGAACTGCCAGCTCTTTATCTAATCTTCCATAATCTATCTTTCATGTAAAACTATTATGAAGATAATCATACTTGAAAATGGTTTGGCCAAATATTTGAGAATACCAACTTTCAACAGTGATTTTATTTCTAATGCTTTTTTTGCCCCATCCGAAGATCTAGATTTGTTTTACTTGTCTGTACACAGTCACCACCTAACAAGTCAGACCTTGCTTAAAATCCTTATACTTGAGAACGATAAGAGGAAGTTGTTAAAACGTAGTGTGAAATAAAATCAGTGATTGTTTTCCATATAAATTTGTGTTTTTATAAGTCAGACCTTGGTCTGAAAATATTGTTTACGTAAATATTGTATTAAATGTTACAATACTAATTCATCTTTCAATTAATATATTTATTGTTTTGTATGAGTATAATAATTTTATTTTTTCTAGTTTTTATACGAATCTATTTGAACATCAGTTTAAACAATGTATGGAGTTTCCAGCTCAACATCGTTATAGTATTATCTTCCCCATGATCTGTGCTCATTTTATGAATGCAACTCATGATCTGTGTCCTGAAGAGGTAAATAGTCATCTTTATTCTAGGGTCTGTGGGGTTATGAACGTTAAATGTATCACAGTAATATATAGTAGATAAATGAAATGAAATGGGGTTTAGCATCCCACTGTTCAGCAATGAGCATACAGTGTGCTATGCGGGATTTTGCCTGGACAGCGGCACTACAACCTACTTTTATTTTGAATTCCAACTGTCAACACAAGACCTTGGTTTTTTGTCATATCCTAACAACTATAAGTTGTCTCTTGCCAGGCAATCCGTCCTGCACCATTGATATGGAGGAACCAATGCTGGTGAACTTATTGCAGTGATAATCGTAGGTCCATGCTGGGTTATCGTCTCGAGAAGATGTCGAATGTTGACAAATTAATGAAATGAACCATTTTAAGACTGTATTCCTTTTGGGGGGGTTGGATGGCCAAATGTTTAGCATGTGCGCACTGTATCATGAGGTCTCTCATTGAGTCAACTGGCGTATCATAAGGTCTCTCATTGAGTTAACTGGTGTGGTTTCGATTCCCTGGTTGTACCTGACAAGGAGTAGAGTCGCCTGTCCAACCTTGTGGGTTTCCTCCGGGGTCCTCCGGTTTCCTCCCACTGCTAAAGACCCCTACACGCAAGCAAATTAGTGAAATAAAATTGAGCCATGTGTTAGTCCTGATATGACCTAGTCTGTGACGAGTGGACGCTCTCTCTCTCTCTCTCTCTCTCTCTCTCTCTCTCTCTCTCTCAAATCCTTCCAATGTCGAGATCAGCGACTTTAAAAATCTGTATAAAGAAATTTATTTTTTGATGATTTTACAATTTTATTTTCAGCGTCACTCTATCGGAACTACAAGTGTTCAGTATGCTCACTGGTTTCTACGTGAAATGTCTGAAGAAATCAACCAGGTTATTACAGCAATCTGTGAAGAACAGTGTATGCTCAGTTATAAGGTATGTACACATATTTACCTCCATAACATTGTAGCAGGTGTCTGGGTAATTTGACCTCTGACCATTTGAAGGGGGGGGGTTGGATGGCTGAATGGTTAGCGTGCGCGCGCTGTATCATAAAGTCTGTCATTGAGTCGACTGGCGTGGTTTCAAATCCCCGGTTGTACGTGGCAAGGAGTAGGGTCGCCTGTCCAACCTCGTGGGTTTTCTCCGGGTCCTCCGGTTTCCTCCCACTGCTAAAGACCCCTACGCGCAAGCGAATTATTGAAATAAAATTAAACCATATGTTAGTCCCGAAATGACCTAGTTTGTGTCGAGTGGACGTTAAACCCCATTTCTCTCTCTCTCTGTGACCATTTGAAGCAACCTCAAAGGTTTTCTCCGGGTCCTCCGGTTTCCTCCTACTGCTATAGATCCCTACGCGCGAGTGAATTATTGAAACCATATGTTAGTCCCGAAATTAACTAGTTTGTGTTGAGTAGACGTTAAACCCCATTTCTCTCTTCTCTCCCATTTGAAGCATTTGTCATTCACTAAAATAAAAGAATGTTCTAAAATTCTCCAGAAAGGCCATATTCCCGAGCCTTTTCTTCATTGATGCAATCAGGTACTGGGTCATCTTCAATAGAAGGCCTTATCTCGCTTTAACTATGTACATCTTATCAAGGCCTTCACGTAATACCCTGCATATTTGAACACTAATTTCGATTGGGTACAAGCCCAGCTTGTGATCCTATCAGATTCCTCGATCGTTGCGAATACCAAATCTCGCGCTTTCAAGGTAAAATGTCTACCTGTGATAATCGAGTTGCAAAGTTCAAGGTTCATTCAATGTTAAGGTTTCTGTGGAGGTCGTGAAGTCACAACCTCTGATTGGATGCTACTGCTCACGTGTCTGTAGAGAACATAGCTGCTCTATAAGTTTGGGAATTGTGAAGTAAACAAGCAACGGCCAGATGTTGTAAAACTCGTAGTCGTTGCTACAGGTACATGGTACAGGGTATACTGGTAATTACATGGTTCACTTCCACTGTTAAACCTAAAGTTTTAGGGGGACTGCAGTTTGGGAGCTGAAATTCGACCAGAATGGGTCAAAAAGAACATCACATCCATATATAAACAACCTAATACAGTTTTATGAATGTGGGTTGTTTATGGATGTAATGTGCTGATTATTGGTTGTTTATGGATGTAATTTGCTGATTATGGGTTGTTTATGGATGTAATTTGATGATTATTGCTTGTTTATGGATGTAGTGTGCTGATTATTGGTTGTTTATGGATGTAATTTGATGATTATTCGTTGTTTATGGATGTAATTAGCTTATTGATGGTTGTATATGGATATAATTTCAGTTACTACCGAAACACAGTGCTGCCACCATTTTAAACACAGTTCAACGAAAGAAAAATAAAGACAAGAAAAAAACCATACAGGAACCAGAAAAACCTGGACAGGAGAGTATCCGAAAAAACAGAGAAAATTTTACCAGGTATTCTGCGTTGAATCATTTAAATTTTAATTGATTTGAACTTTTTATTCATGGGGTGTTGTTGCACTATATTAATGTTCAGATTTCCGGAAATATGAAATTGAAAGTAAATGTAATTATTAAACAGCAAGCACCATTCATTTCACTGTGTTGTGAGGCCGTTAAAGTTTTGATACTCTGAAATGAAATAAAATGGGATTTAATGTCCTACTGTTCTGCTCCGACTGGGCTAATGACGATTGGGCCCTTATTCACGAAAACTTAAACTAATTTACAACCGAAATTTTAAGAAATACTGCAACTTCATTGGATATATGCAAATTGATTTTACTTGTCAGCCAATCGAATTGCAGTATTTCTTAAAATTTCGATTGTATCTTAGTTTAAGTTTTTCGTGAATAAGGGCGCAGGTCTAAAGTATCAAGGAGAATAACATGCTCAACGACCAAAACAGACTTTCTTTTCTCCTGGTCCTCCAGTTTCCTTCCACTGCTAATTATAACGACCCCTGTGTGCAAGCAAATTATTGAAATACAATTTAACTATATGTTAGTCCTGAAATGACCTAGTTTGTGTGTTAAAACCCCCCTCTCTCTTTCTCTCTCTCTAAGATAAGAAGCACTTATAAGAGTTTCAGGAAATTCACATTTGCATGGCATTATTTTTATAAATGGTATTTAATATAATAATATATTTCAGAATGGATAAATTACACATGGCTTTAACTGAGTTATGTTACGCTATCAACTACTGTAATGTAATACAAGTATGGGAACATGGTTTCGTACCCAGAGAATTCTTTCTACAACAGCTTGAGGCTCGATTCAACAAGTAAGATATATTAATTGACCTTTTCTCATTTTAACGAAAATATTTATTATTTCATCTTTAAAAAATTGGGGTTTAACATCGTGTCTTGTGCTAGTATTTCCATCTACTCTTTGTCGTATTCCAACTGTCAATGGTTCTTTTATGTGCACGCCAAAGAATACACAGGACCTTAGTTTTTTTTCATTGCATCTGAACGAACAAATGCTATTCTTTGCAGGCCCTCTGTCCTTCACGACTGACAAGGGACAACTGGGCTGGTACTTTCACGGTCAACACTGGGATCAGACCCAGGACCACTTTACCCTTTGAAGATCAAAGGCCCATTTATATTCCATTAAGCGAGGGTGCGATGCGAAGAATTGTCTTTGCATACCTTTGTGCACTTCAAAGCCCAGCCTTACAGCAAACAGCCAATCAGCAATCGGGTCTGCTGTTGCGATCATGTGTTCCATTTAACAACACAAGAAGTCAGCTTCGCTTAGCTTTGCTCATTAAAATCAACAGCTTTTGAATTTTTTGGCTTCGCTTCGCTTAGCAAAGCATAAAGTGGCCTTTAACGGCAGTTGAGAGGGGAGGATTTTTTAAATTCTCACTTGTCAGTGATAAAGCAGGCAGATCAGTGATTTGTCATTTAAATGGTACAGTATTTTGGTGTGCATGTTGAAATTTAAAGAAGATGAGGCAGAAATTCTTTTGTCCTGACAAGAATACTGCAGCACCACTGTCCAGGCAAAATTTCCCTCATAACTGCACACTGCAAGACATGTGCCTGTCGGTTTCATTATATTGGTTGATGCAAAAAAAACTAAAACATTAAACCCTGTTTCATTTTATTTGTTATATTTTCAGGGCTCTAGTAGGAATGATGATGTACAACCCAGAGACAAATGAAATAGCCAAACCATCTGAATTATTAAATGGTGTTCGTGCTTATATGAACGTCCTACAAAGTATTGAAAACTATGGTATGTATAAAAATAAACCATATGTTTGTCCCGAAATGACCTAGTTCTTGGCAAGTGGACGGTAAACCCCTTTTCTCTCTCTCTCTCTCATGGCTAATCACAGGCTCAAATAAATGAATTTTGAAAAAAGACATCTTTGAGTCGTGCCCCCCCACCCCTCCCTAACGCTCCCCTTCAATTAGTTATGAAAACTCTTAAGAACAATAAATAGATGAAGAATGAGGATATTGCATGTTCACACATAATTGACAAATAAATTTAATATAACACAGTTCTATGGATAACAATCACTATATTATATACACACGACTTTTCAATATAGTGATATAGTGATTGTTATCCATAGAACTGTGTTATATGTTCAATCGCTAAATGCCATTCAAAGATTATGACAAATAAATTGATGAAGATAATATTGTAAACAGTGTTAATACTAAGAGGCATTTATATTGTAGTGTAGGCATATTCCCCCCCCCCCCCCCCACTCCTTTGTTTCCGTCCCTGAATCGGATTCTGGGATTCTTTTAGATTTACTACCAATCTGATTAAACCACAGATCCTATTTCGTATCGTTTTTATAGTTCAAAATTATGTTTCACTTGTCTTTACTATACTATATTGAAGTGTTCTTGTATAACCCGGGGGATCACGTGGCTAAGTGGGTAAGACGCTAGCTCGCTAGCCTGGAGGTCGGGTGTTCGATCCCTGCATTGGCCGAGAAAGTTCATCCAGATTTTCCGGCGTGTTTCTCCCTTGTCAGTGATGCAGGACGGAGGGGCTGACATGGAAAGCTGTCTAGTCGTTCGGATGGGACGAAAAACCGAGGCCCCGTGTACACATTGGCGTGCACGTAAAAGATCCCTTGGCAGTTGGAATTCGATATAAGAGTAGGCCGTAGTGCCGCTGTCCGGGCAAAATTTCCCTCATAGCACACTGTATGGCGTATGCCCGTCTTCATTAGCCCAGGTTAGGCGCAGAACAGTAGGACGTTAAACTCCATTTCATTTCATTTCATTTGTATAACCCGCGTTCTGATTGATGTGAGGGATTAGCCAATGAAACGGACTGTTATGGCGATTTTTTAGCATGAGGTGCACGGAACTGTGGGTAACCCACTAGAAACATCAACACTGATTGGTTAATCAAATGTCTGACATCATAGGGTCAAAAACCGCTTGTATGACCTCTGACGGACCTTCCACTCTACAACCGGTCAGATCTTCATGTAGTATAGGTCATCGAAAGTATAAAAAAACGAAACGAAATATAGATCTGTATATTAATCAGATTACATTTACTACTTGTATTTCAGTTCATGTTGATATGGCTCGTGTATTCAACAACGTTCTACCACAGCAAACACAACCAACAGATAGCACAGGAGAAAAAACTATCACAGCTAATTATACGAACTGGTAAATATATCTATAAATACATTTATATGGTCGTATATCGTCACCGCCCTGGTCCGTCAGTCAGTCTGTCGTTCACAAATAGTACAAGAGAAAAAAACTATTGAGCTTATACCAACTGGTAAATATATGTATAAATATCTTTATATTTTTAAACCCCCATATGAAAATATGGTCGTATATTGTTGTCCTGCCGGTCCATCAGTCAATCTGTCGTTCACAAAGACTACATTTATCATTCAATCTTTTTTAGATTTTATCTATTTTTTTCTTTGTTTACATTAGTGGCCGATTGGTTAACATGTGTTGGTTGGATCAGAAGATCTGTCATCGAGCCAAGTGGAGTGATTTTGATTCCCTGTTTTTATGTGACAAGGAGTAGGGTCGCCTGTCCAACATCGTGGATTTTCTCTGGGTTCTCCGGTTTCCTCCCACTACTGAAAACCCATACGCTCTAGCGAATTATTGAAATTAAATTGAAGTGTATGTTAGTCCCAAAATGACATAGTTTGTGTCGATTGCAAGCTAATTATTGAAATTAAATTGAACCATATGTTAGTCCCGAAATGACCTAGTTTGTGTAGAGTGCACGTTAAACCCAATTTCTCTCTCTGTTTCTCCCATTTATCTCTCTCTCCGGGAATCAAACAAATATTTAATTTGTTTATGGTACTTGTTGTCCGTTTCAGGTATTCAGATTGTATATAATATGTTGTGTTTGTTTCAGGTATTTAGATTGTATATGGTTTCTTGTCTGTTTTTGGCGTTCAGATTATATATGATTTTTTGTGTCTGTTGCAGGCGTTCAGATTATATATGATTTGCTGTATCTGTTTCAGGTATTCAGATTATTTAGATTGTATATGGTTTGTTGTGTCTATTTCAGGTATTTAGAAGTCTTGTTACGACGTGTAACTTGTAATGTAGGTCAGATTGTTTTCTCACCGAGTCAGAAAGCCTTCGTTAGTATAACACATACAGAGGGACAACTTTTCTCGGCTGAAGAATTCGCAGATTTGACAGGTAAAACAAAGATTTATTAGATTTTGTAATGTGTGAGCACACATTAATTATGCAACAAGTGATTTAACGTCAAAATGGATAATCAAAACTTTCTTTTTTATCGTAAGGACTTTAGTAATGATGATCGAGGCTAGGCCTAAAATTCAATCGCTAATGTCTCGGTTTAGAGTCAAGCAATTTATCTGAAATTTTCAGGATATTATCTATTCTTTAACTATTATAGTGAGAATTGTCAGCTCTTTATCTAATCTCCCATAATGCTTCTTTAAGTATTGTCTCAGACTATTTTATTGCCATTTTCATAAAGGGGGGTTTGATGACCAAATGGTTTAATGTGTGCGCTCTGTATCATAAGGTCTGTCATTGAGTCAACTGGCGCGGTTTCGATTCCCTGCTTGTACTTGACAAGTAGTAGGGTCATCTGTCCAAACTTGTGGGTTTTCTCCGGATCCTCAGGTTTCATCCCACAGCTAAAGACCCCTACACGTAAGTGAATTATTGAAATATGTTAGTCCCGAAATTACCTAGTTTTTGACAGTGGATGGTAAATCCCATTTCTCTCTCTCTCATATTCATAAATCTGATTCTTATACGAATGTTTTTCATGTACATTTTTTTTATTTATCAGAGTTACGAGCATTGGCTGAGTTGATTGGTCCCTACGGTGTTAAATATATGGGAGAGAGGCTGGTATTAAATATAGCTAGTCAGGTCGATGAACTTAAGGTACAGTAACTTTTAGCACAACCCTTAATTGTCAGCGAGATCACTTCTGTGGAAGCAGACGTTAAAGTAACTAAGTCTCTAACTCAATATCATTCAAAGTCTTCGACATCGAAAACACGAATTATTTGTCAATTTAAATCAACATTGATGTTGTGATCTTGCCGGGAAAAGATGGGCTTCTGATATCCAATATTTAAGACAAAATAAACATTTTACCATTGGTACAAAAATCGTGTACCATAATGCGTTTCAGCACCATTTGTAACAAGGGACTCAAAGAACAAGGCTAGACATATTCCACAAGTCATGTCAAATGGTGACCACATATTCTTATCTGGAAAGCATGCACAATAAATACTATTGGTGTAGACTGGAATAACCAGTATTCAATTAGCTTTCTAACAACTCTAATGATTTTTTGATGATAAACAATTCTTAAAGTTTAAAAATACATAATTTGGAGACAGATAGGGGTGACAGGGTTTGTGGGTGGGGGCAAAAGGCCTGTATAAAACGTTATAATTCTAATGAGATCTTCTCCCTAGAGGAGATGAATATTATATTCTGATATAAATATTATTTTAATATCTACAGAAACTGGTTATAAACAACAAGGAATTATTGAGTCAACTAAGAACAAGTTTTGATAAACCAGACGTCATGAGAGAATTATCAAAAAAATTGCAAAGTAAGTTCCGATTTATACTTATGACATTTTCAATTGAATTGTATTTAACGTAAAACGCATCTTATATATATATATATCTATTCAGAGTGTGCTATTTTATTATTTCTTACTAATATACAGTAATAATTAATCTGGTTAAAACACAGATCTTATTTCGTTTCGTTTTTTATAGTTCAAAATTTAGTTTTACTTGTCTTTACTATACTAGGATCTGGAAGAGTTGTTATCATTGACGTGTTCTGAATGATATGAGGGATTTGCCAATGAAACGGTCTGTTATGGCGAGCTTTAGGCATGTTTTGCACGGAACTGTCGGTAAATCCACTAGTAACATCAATGCTGATTCGTTAATCGAATGTCTGACGTCATAAGGTCAAAAGCCGCTCGTATGACCTCTGACGCGACCTATTGCTACAACTGGTTAGATCTTCATGTAGTGTAGGCCATCGAAGGTATAAAAAACGAAACCAAATATAGATCTGTATTTTAATCAGATTGGTAATAATTAATCTGGCATGGTTTTTGGATTAACCCATTAAGCGTGTAACTGTTTTGAGTTGAAATACAGCCTAAGAATGTATTGTACAAAACGCCATCATTGGAAACTGTATCATAAAAGGCACGATTGCGCCTTTAATCGAGGAAATGGAGGCGGTAAAACTTTTTTAATATCTCTAACTTATGTTAGACGAGACTCTGATTGCTGACTGGCTCTTCTTGCAAGTCTTCTTAGGAAACATGTGTCTGCGATATTACCATTGGCAGAAGCAGACATTAAACCCTACGAACTAATGTATTGCACAAATCGCTCACTAATGTGTTTGTTGAATACAAATGTAATATATGTGTAGCTGTATGTAGAATTTGTAAAAATGTTTCAAGGTGTGTCGCTTCGACGGTCTGGGGTCTGGGGTTCATCCACAATTTCTTGTCACTACTCTACAAGTCAGATATAACTACCCAATGTTTTATTTTGCTACAAAACAAAAATTGCCAGTATTTAAATTAATACGACTTATGATATAAGGGCATTAGTTTCTAATTTTACAATACCGTTCCAATTAAATAAAAACTGTTCTCTTATAATATTTAACAAGCCACAATGACTCAGTGAGTTAGCCACTGGGCTCACTAACCAGGAGTTCGCAGGTTCCTTAGGGTTTTTCAGCCTGGTTTGCTTTTGTCAGTGGTTCAGGATGGTACGTACGCAAAGAACAACATCTGCTAGTTCGGATGGAATCTAAAACCGAGGTCCCATGTACATACTAAAGAGCCCTTGACAGTTGAAATTCGATGAGTAGGTGAAAATGACACTGTCTGGGCAAAATTTACCTCATAGCACATTGCATGGCGTAATCCCACCTTCATTAGCCCAGTTGGTGCAGAAAAGTAGACCCCCGGGTATCATTTAATCTTGTGTATCTAGAACTAATTTCTTTCACATTTGTTTAATATCACATCTTTGTTTAAAAATTCATAAAAATTATTTAAAATCACCTCAAATCATCTAATTTCTACTTGTGTCTAGTTTAAAGGTGACTGATTAATTTTGATAATGAGTGTCTAATTTACAAGTATTTAATTTCCTGACCACTGTTCAAAAATTAATCATTATACATCAATAATCAATTGGGTTGTTTATTTTTTAACAGTAATCAAGAAATTAGACACTTGTAAATTGGAGTCTTTATGAAAATTGAATGGTCAGCTTTAAACTGAACACAAGTACAAATTAGATAATTTTTGGTGATTTTAAACGATTTTTACAAATTAGATGATTTTGGGTGTCGATTTTAAACGATTTTTACAGATTTTTAAACAAGGTTTGATATTGAATGAATATGAAAGAAATTAGTGTTAAATACACAAAATTAAATGATACCCAGGTTAAATTAATTTTTTGATATTAAATGAATGTGAAAGAAATTAGCGCTAAATACACAAGATTAAATGATGCGCAGGTTACAGTGTAAATCCCCATTTAATTTTATTACTTATATTGAAATTAGCGCTAAATACACAAAATTAAATGATACCCAGGTTAAATTAATTTTTTGATATTAAACGAATGTGAAAGAAATTAGCGCTAAATACACAAGATTAAATGATGCGCAGGTTACAGTGTAAATCCCCATTTAATTTTATTACTTATATTGAAATTAGAGCTAAATACACAAAATTAAATGATAGCCAGGTTACAGTGTAAATCCCCATTTAATTTTATTACTTATATTTAATTGAAGTATTTTTTCTCTCTAATTTATTTCTTTATTGTATCAGAACCCCTCAAATCTGCATCAAGTAAGATATATTGAATGTTGTGTTTAATTACATGTATTTAGTTCTGTATCATTCACTTCTTTCTTTCTTTAGTTTCTTTTCCAAAAAACTGTCTTTATTAGCCCATACGAGCCACAGTGGCCAAGTGAGTAAGATGCTGCCTCGCTAGCCTGGAGTTTGCGTGTTCGATCTGTGCATTGGCCGAGAAAGTTCATTGGGATTTTCCGATGTGGTTTCCCCTTAACTGTGCTGCAGGATGAAGGATCTGACAAGAACATCTGTCTAGTCGTGCGGATGGTACGAAAAACATAGGTCCTGTGTACACATTGGCGTACACGTAAAAGATCTTTTGGCAGTTGGAATTCGATTAAAGAGTAGGCCATTGCGCCACTGCCCTGGCAGGCAAAATTCCCCCTCATAATAGCACACTGTATGGCATATACCCGTCTTCATTAGCCTAGTCAGCACTGAACAGTAGGACGTTAAACCCCCATTTCATTTTTGCTTAACATGTGCAGAAATTGCCCAAGGTATAGATCATCACTCTCACTTGTTTAGCATTAAAGCTATCGGTATCCAAAGCATCGACATTATGGAAGTGAATTCTCTCAATCTCATGAAGATTGACTATCACGTAAACACAAGAATATCGAGTGATAAAACTTCCAGAAGCTGAAAAAACAAAATATGTCTACTTGTCACATTGGCCAAAGTCTGCTATCGAGGGGGGTTTGGATGGCCGATTGGTTGGCATGTGCGCGATGTATCATAAGGCCTGTCATTGAGTCAACTGGCGTGGTTTCGATTCTCTGGTTGTACGTGACAAGGAGTAGGGTCGTCTGTCCAACCTCGTGGGTTTTCTCCGTGTCCTCCGGTTTACTCCCACTGCTAAAGACCCCTACGCGCAAGTGAATTATTGAAATAAAATTAAACCATATGTTAGTCCCGAAATGACCTAGTTTGTGTCGAGTGGACGTTAAACCCCATTTCTCTCTCTCTCTCTCTGCTATCAAGACCAATCGAAATCTGGCAAGACTGTTCAATGATGACGTGGGTTAGAAATAACGATTCCCTATTGGGTCATACTGTGGGTTAGGAAATAATGATGGGTTTTGAAATAACAATTCCCTGATAGACCATATGATCGGTTTTGAAATAACAATTCCCTGATGGGGTATATGATCGGTTTGAAATAACAATCCCTGATGGGCTGTACCATCGGTTAGGAAATAACGATCCCTTATGGGCCGTATGATTAGTTTGGAAATAACAATTCCCTGATGATCCATACTTTGGGTTAGGAAAGAACAATCCGTTATGGTCCGTATTGTGGGTTAGGAAATAACTGTCCCTAATGATTCGTAATTCGGGTCAGGAAATGGCAATCCCTATGGTCAGGAAATAACAATCCCTATGATCAGGAAATAACAATCCCTATGATCAGGAAATAATGAACCCTATGGTCAGGAAATAACGAACCCTAATGGTCTGTACCCTACTATTTATTAGATGTAAAATCTGTTCTTTTATTATTTACTTTATTTTATTTTGTTCGACTGTTGAATACAGTGTTTTATGGAGTGTTGCATGATTTACTCAAATATTATTGCATGGGTGTTTTTTCTTCTTGTAGAAATTGAAATGTTAATACTGAAATGTGGTCGTATATTGTTGTAACCCCTGCCTGTCCGTCCGTCCGTCCGTCCGTCGTCCATAATTACTTGTGGACACTCTATCGGCTGAAGTTACATTTTTGAGAAGAAAAAGTCTGAGTTATTGCCCTTGATTTCTTAGAAAATCATGTGGACATTTTTTTAGAGGCTAAAGTTATCATCCGATTGACTTGAGATGAAGAATCCTATTGATTTTTGACTGTTTCTGTCAATTTCTATCCGGGGGAAAAGCCTATAGATTTTTAAACTATTTCCCAGAACATCTAAAGTTATCATCAATTCCCCACATGTACGTGACAAGATGTAGAGTCGCCTGTCTAACTGAACTCATGGGTTTTCTCTGGGTACACTGATTTCCCTCCTTAGCTTAAAACCCAAACGCCCAAGCGAATAGTTGAAATAAAATTTAAGCGTGTGTAAGTCCCAAAATGACCCATTTTATGTCGAGTGGACATTAAACCCCATCTCTCACTCTCGTTCTCTCTCTCTACTGGGATGACTTGGCTGCTGTGCCAACGGGCATATATATTGTTTTGTTAAATATGTGTTTATTAGTCACATGTACATTGTATGTTAAAGATATACGTATTTATATGTAGGTCTTGACTCTTGAGTTATGTGAGGCACAGACTCAGGCTTTGTCAGGCACAAAACCTCTGGTGTCTGTCATTTTGTCCAGCACTGATTTGTGTTTTTTATTGATATTATTAATACATGTCCAGCACTAAGTTGAAAATGTCAGGTACTATTTCATTAGTGGCTGACATTTTGTCAGGTACATCTAAAACCATTATTTCCAGGCCTGTTATTAGCCAAAATCATTTTGACTGTATGACAGTCTCAATGAACAAGTTGAGAAATGAATATTAGGTATAAAGGTTGTGATTCTGGTGCTGTTGGTGTTAACTAAGTTCAATTAGCAGCCATTGTCATTCTGTCAGTCATATACAATATTAACCAATGGGAACATTCAATATAAATTATAACAGTATACCGGTAACCACAATCCTGAAGCAATTGTCCAAGAAATCCCTCTCTGGCCATTGCTGGATTGGCTTCTGATACTTGAGCTTTTGAGGGAGTGTGTCTATTCTTCCCATTCAATCAAATCTCTCCTAAGTACAGCAACATGACAGCCCTTAATCTAATCTGGGGCCTTCCCTAAAACTTTGGACAGTGATTTAAGGTATTAAAAACGGTGATAGTATTGTTTGTCTCCAAACAGTATTGTTTAAATTGTAGCCATTTTTGATAGCCTCGTTTGTCACGCAATTAGCTTTTCTGCAATATTTAGCTATGCACTGGTTAATTGGGCATAATATTAATAGATTTCATGAGTCATGACATAACGTTATGTAAACATAACTGGAGCTCTGTTTAAACCCGAATGATATTGTTACGCAGTTAGGTATTGGTTGTTAATCACACTATTGACCAGTCAGAATTTGGAACAGAAATTTGCTTTCAGTACAGCAGTGTTGAGTGGGATTAGGTCTAATCAAAAGAAACACTGCGAGGAGTATGAATATTAACACGTGTGTTTGTAAATATGATCTATAGACAATATTATGCTTAAAGATGTTTTGGATAAAATATTAATATTTTATTTTTAACTAAGTATTAATAATAACTGAATGATATATAACACTGACACAAAATTATGTCTTTTCCATCGATCCATTAAAACAGAATAAATCATATTTTACACCTGTTTCATAAAAAAACTGCGATTTATTTTTGCCGTGTGTTAGATAAGAGTAGTAAAGCCATAGCTTTGTGTCATATTATTCTGAATTATATTTTGGATTTTTAACGATTTTTATTACTAAAATAAACTAATATTTGGTGATGTTTTCTGTAATAGCTAGTCACAAGAATGCTCCCAGCGGTAAGATGGTTTTATTGTGCTTATCCCTGTTTTTTAAAAGTTTTTATTTAATGCTTTTTTTAAAAATGTTAACATATCCCTTTTTTGTTTAGAAAACCGCTTTATTAACTTAAAGGGGAAGACCAACGATTTTCAACAAATTTTCCATAAATCTACATCACTTCTGATTTTAATGAAAATTAATTTCTCACTTACAAAAACTTTTTTGCTTGTGTTACAGAGGGAATTATTTCCGAATATATATTTAAGATGTATGGAAACCTTGTTGAAAATCGTTGGTCTTCCCCTTAAATGAGGATTTTTTTGTCTGTATATGTATTGTTGATTGTCCATGCTTTCTAACCCAACATGTTTATGTTTTATCTTTCGCTTTATTTTTCTACATTTTGAAGTCTGAAAATAAAATTTTGATATCTTTTGAAAGTCATTGTGTATACTCTACATAAGCGTTAGAAATCAGAGCCAAAGAGAATCGAGCAGTTATTAAAGACAATGTAAGCTCTGTTGTGACCATGTCAAGGCAAAATTCCCCTTATAGCATCTACTTTAGTCCGATTGAAGCAGAACTGTCTCATTTCATTTCATTTTGTTTGTACAGGGATCACGGTGGCTAAGTGGGTAAGACGCAGGCTCACTAGCCTGGAGGTCGGGTGTTCGATCCCTGCATTGGCCGAGAAAGTTCATCCAGATTTTCGGGCGTGGTTCCCCCTTGTCAGTGATGCAGGACGGGAAGGGCTTGACAAGGACACCTGTCTAGTTGTGCGGATGGGACGAAAAACTGAGGTCCAGTGTACACATTGGCATGCACGTAAAAGATCACTTGGCAGTTGGAATTAGATATAAGAGTAGGCCATATAGCCGCTGCCCAGGCAAAATTTCCTTCATCGCACACTGTATGGCATATGCCTGTTTTCATTATCCCAGTATAGGAGTAGGACTTTAAACCCTGTTTCATTTCATTTCATTTCATTTTGTTTGTGATAACTAGCCACACCATTACATGTATATATAAATGTATTACACATAATTTACATATTGAATGATTTATTAGTACATGTATTAGATATTTGTAATTTTTTCCTATTTTCTTTGTTTCAATATTTCTGTCTGCCATCAGATTGTTTTTGTTTTGTTTTGTTTTTTCTTCCATTTCCATTCCTCTATGGCTTATTCCTCTACATGTTATGCCGGGTGACACAAAAAAAACGTTCATCACCCAAAATTGAATAATGAAGAGGGGTCGTCAGGGACCTCCAGTGGTTCCAGCAGGATGGTGCCACCACCCACACCTCAAACGAATCATTGGCATGGCTACAGCAGCATTTCCCTGACCGACTGATCAACCGCAGGTGTGACCCGGGGTGGTCGGCACATTCACCGGAGAACGCCCCAGATTTTTATCTGTGGGGATACCTTAAAGACAGGGTGTATGGCAACAACCCCCAGACTATCCCTGATCAGAAGGCAGCAATCACAGCAGCAATAAAAGCGATCCCAAGGGAAGAATGTGGGAGGGTCATCGAGAACTTTGCCCGCCGGATCCAAATGTGCTTGCAGCACCGGGGAGCTCATTTAGAGCACATTTTTTGAGCGCCAGTTAAACAAAGAGTTTTTGTGGTACAGACTTGAAACTTTGGAGATGTCTGCTACATATTCGATTTTTATTGATGAACGTTTTTTTTGTGTCACCCTGTACTTGCAATGTTCTTCAACCTTTTAATTGTCAGTGTATTTTTGTAATTTAGTTGTTGATTTCTGCTGTTGTTGTTGAGTTTCTCTACATTGTCCTTTAGCTGTATATGTGTTATTATAGGCAAAACAGAAAATTAAACAGGGGCCTTTTAAATGGCAATCACATTTTGTTTTGTAAAATATAAGAATATAGTCCTTGAGTGGCATTTAGCCATTAAAAAAAAAATAACCCAATTTACGAGGAATACAATTACTGGTTTATACACATATAGCACGACGTTTCCACAAGTATTCTCGTATCGTTATCAAGTACTTGATAACGATAAGAGAATACTTGTGGAAACGTCGTGCTATATGTGTATAAACCAGTGATTGTATTCCTTGTAAATTGGGTTGTTTTTTGTAAAACATAAGAAGTTCTTTATTTGTATGATGTAAAGGAATATTTAATGTTTACTTGATTTAGATCGTAAAATGAGTAAACATCTTTGATGTAGGTACAAAATAAAAGTGTTGATTTAATTAATGCGAGGTTCCCATTGTTGTGCGATTCGTTACGATAGGTTTGTCTCTATTGTGTCCACGATCTGCTACCTGCAGATACGTTCGGATACGTTTCAATGCAGTCAATACAATTGCTATGACTGACCTCAATATATGATAAGACCCGACAGGATCACCACGATCACTCAACGATTAAAACCACGAACGTGGGAACGAAGCATTAGTTTGATCTAATTGATTTTAATATGTTGATTGGCTCTGTGAAGAGTATATCCATCCATGATTAGAGATATATAACCTATTCTACTGACACAGTAAGATAAACGTGAAATCAAAATTACGGTAGTAAAACAAACCGATTTCCACTTTTGAAAGGGCTATACTATATACCGGAAAACAACCGGAAAACACTGGAAAACTACCGGAAAACACTAAATACCGGAAAACACACTAAATACCGGAAACCACCCTATATAGGTAACCCAGAGAAGGGCTATACTATAAACCGGAAACTAACCCTAACCCTAACCCAGGCACACAGAGGACCAGGCTCCCGGTTACCTATTTAGGGTGCCAGTCTCCGGGTTACCTATTTAGGGTATTTTCCGGTATTTAGTGTGTTTTCCAGTATTTAGTGTTTTTCCGGTGTTTTCCGGTATTCAGTACAAAATGGTGTTTTCCGGTTGTTTTCCGGTATATAGTATTGCCACTTTTGAAACAATAATTTAATCATTTAGATCTACTCAATTCACATTATTTTGACCTAAATCAATTAAGATTTGAAAGTTAGAGAGAATACATTGACAATATAATCAAGAGATTTTAAATTGATTAAATCTCCTTTAAATCCTATATTTCCCCCCTGAATGCACTCCTATATAAACAAGGGATTTTAAACTGATTAAATCCTATATTTCCCCCCCGTTATGAATGCACTCCTATATAAACAAGGGATTTTAAACTGATTAAATCCTATATTTCCCCCGGTTATGAATGCACTCCTATATTCTTCCTTCTCTTTCTTTACTACAAGCATCTAAACAAAAGGATCCTGGTTTAGCCATCGTGAGAGGTGATGTTAATTTTCACTGTTTCACTGTTGTATCCGTAGATAACCTATCACTTTTAGTTATATCAAGTAGATTATCTGCCCCTTTTTAAACTACCTTAAAGGGACAATAACACTCTTGCTTGGTTGACAGCTCCAGAAAATAAAAAAATAGCCTTATTCTAAGTACTAGATGTGTTAGTGTCCTACCTGTTGTGTAAATTATCCATTAAATTCTATTTTACTTGTCCAGAGGGTTCAAAAATATTTTTAAATCCAAGCAACATTTGAAAAGCTTTACGTCAGGCTTTTCAAATCATTTAGTTGAATTTTTCCAATTTTTTAAATTAGGTGTGTTAAGATGAAATTTGTATCATCAATTAATTGGAATATTGTAAAATAGTACAATTTGTTGACCAGAATAAAGATTGGGACATATTATTCAGTTACAACAAGAGTGGTATTGAGCCTTTAACAGGCATAATGGTAGTAGTAATTGAAAACACAATTGATTGATGTATATAAAACTTTATTATGCCATTAAAATCGGAATTATCAACGTACATGTACCTTGGCGATCTACCAACTTACCTGATCCCTGCTTTGACCAAGAAGGTTCATCTAGATTTTCTGACGTGGTTTCCCCTTGTGAGTAGTGCAGGACGAAGGGCCTGACAAGGACAGCTGTCTAGTTGTTCAGATGGGATGAAAAACCGAGGTCCCGTGTATACTATATACATTGGCGTGCACGTAAAAGATCCCTTGACAGTTGGAATTCGATATAAGAGTAGGCTACACTATATAGCATATGCCCGTCTTCTCTAGCCCAGTCGCAGCAGAACAGTAGGACGTTAAACCCCATTTTATTTATTTACATCTACCCCATGCGCATGCACGCCAACTGTCCCATTTTTTGTGTCACAGAGTTAATAATATTGATCAAAAGACTTGCAAAATGTATGGATAATTTAGAGAAAGGGTATCTTGTAAACCAAGATATCAGTGTGACCAATGAAGCTGAACATACCAAGCCAACGATTCTTAGTTCATAGATCTACTGCATTACTCAGATTTACCAACAAAAATGTATTCTTATCCAGAATAAATCTCTACCAGAAAAAAGGGCATTCTTTACCCAATACCAATCTGGCCATAAAAATGTATTGTTATCCAGAATGAATTACTACCAGAAAAAAAGGCATTATTTACCCAATATCAATCTGTACACATAGAAATATTCTGTCTTACAGAAAAAAAAATTCTGCTTCTCAAATAATCCTCCAAAGTATTCTGATGCCTGAACAGGTTTCATAGAGTTACTTCCCTTTACCATGGGAATATATGAATGCTGATATTTTTTAAAAATAAAAAATGGATATTTTAAGTCACGCTCAATCTGATTAAAACACAGATCCTATTTCATTTCGTTTTTTATAGTTCAAAATTTCGTTTTACTTGTCTGTACTACACTAGAATCTGGAAGAGAGGTTATATAACTGGCTTTCTGGTTGATGTGAGGAATTAGCCAATGAAACGGTCTTGGCTCGCAATGCACGGAACTGTGGGTAAACCACTAGAAACATCAACGCTGATTGATTAATCAACATCAACGCTGATTGATTAATCAACATCAACGCTGACTGATTAATCAATGTCTGACTTCATAGGGCCAAAACCTGCTCGTACGACCCCTGACGTGGCTACAACCGGTCAGATCTTCATGTAGTGTAGACCATCGAAAGTATAAAACAACGAAATGAAATATAGATCTGTACTTTAATCAAATTGAGTCACACAATGAGAACCAGAATATTTTCTTTTAAAATGGCCTTAAAAACACAAATTATTCATATTCATTTGTTAATATTTATCTATAATCATGTTATTTGGTAGAGATTTAGCTAATGGAAGTTAGAAGTAAAAGAATTCTTATGGATCGAAAAATTATGATGAATGAAAAGTTGGGAAGTGTTATAAGGTGTTATTTATGTTTACAGATGTTGACATTGTTTTAATGAGGATGACTATTATTGGTGTTTTACTGGCGTTCAGGTCGTTGATACAAGAAGCTCTTCATGATGTAAGTAAACCAAAAACATCTTGGTTTGATTCGTTATTCGGAGGGCTAGACAAGGACAAGCCTCTAATCGTTCGAATGGGGCCAGACGCCAAGATCCCGTGTTGAGATGGCCGTGCATGCAAAAGGACCCTTGGCAGTTGGATTATAAGATTAGACCTTAGTACATGGTGTAGACCATATCCGTCTTCATTAACCCAGTCGATGCAGAAAAATAGGACGTTAAACACCATTTCATTTCATTTCTGTTTTTATAAGCAGGGTCGTGGTAGAGTCACTACTACTAGAATGTCCATGGCTCAAATCCTGGGATGTGTTGTGAAGTCAGCTTCAGGATTTACTCAAACTTGTTAGCCCTATTTTCACCAAATTTATGAAACCAGGGCCAGTTCTCAGGGATGGAACTGACATTGAAAGTGTACCTAATCATTGAGACTGGATGACACTGACAATGAGAGTGCACCTAATCATTGAGACTAGATGACACTGACAATGAAAGTATACCTAATCATTGAGACTGGATGACACTGACAATGACAGTGTACCTAATCATTGAGACTGGATGAAAGTGTACCTGTTCATTGAGACTAGATGAGAGTGTACCTATTCATTGAGACTGGATGACAGTGTACCTAATCATTGAGACTGGATGACAGTGTACCTAATCATTGAGACTGGATGACAGTGTACCTAATCATTGAGACTGGATGAAAAGATGGGGGTAACCCACGTATGTTTATCTCAAAATGATTGGAGTATTGTGTTCATGAGACATTAAACCCCATTTTGTCTTTATTTGAAACTTTTTATTATAGGTACTGGATGATCATGTTCCATTTTTAATGAGTTCCATTCGAGATATTCATCATTATGTTCCTAATACAAAAGATGCTATGGTAAGTACAAGTCGTTATCTCTTATGATCATTTTATACCAGCAGTTTATTTATCTCTAAGCCGCCAATAATTAACCTGTATTATTCAAATATTTAAGTTGTAACTTTTTGTCATCAAGGTTCCTACTCAATAGATAATATTTAACAGTAGCACTAGATGAAAATTATAATCACTTTATGGTCTATATGAATTGCTTGTAGACTGAACATGAACTGAAAAAGTTCAATTAGGGATATTCTTTGGTACCTCATGTGACATTAACATGACCTTTGGTAATGTATGTAGCCATAGTCCTACCTATAAATAAATCCATTTTGATGGGTTGAATTGTTGTGAAGAGGAATCAGATTGTTCTCTGAATGAAATGATCTGTATATGGCAGGATGGGGGATTCAATATTTTGAACTATGACTTGATGAGACTGGCCCTGAATTGACAAAACATTCTCAGACTTAAGTTAAGAATTTACTCAAAATTTTTTCGTCTTATTTTAACTAAAATATAGCCCTTTATAAAACTTTTGTTGTTTTAATGTATCAAATAGATCAATAAGAAACTATGTGCAAAGTTTTGTTTTTCTGGATCAAAGATATTTCTAAAAAAAAAACGTGATTGAAAGTTGAGTAAATTCTTTTAACTCAAGTCGTTTGTAAACTCAGGGCCATGTCCTGTATATTAATCATGAAATGATGATATACAACCATCATTGTAAACAGTAGATATCATTGAATATTACTAGTATATGATATGAATTATAGACTTTTTATACAATATAACACATGATATATATGATATGATATGAATTATAGACTTTTTATACAATATAACACATGATATATCTGATATGATATGAATTATAGACTTTTTATACAATATAACCCATGATATATCAGATATTATAGACTTTTATACAATATAACACATGATATATCAAATAGCACTAGTATATGATATGAATTATAGACTTTTTATACAATATAACACATGATATATCAATATCACTAATATATATGATATGAATTATAGACTTTGTATACAATATAACACATGATATCAGATATTATAGACTGTGTATACAGTATAACACATGATATATCAAATATTACTAGTATATGATATAAATTATAGACTTTATATACAACATTACTAGTATATAATATGAATTTCGGCCATATAAATTAAAAATATTCTAATTCTCAGATATTCGTGTGTCACTTAAAAAGACCTGAATGATTTGTTAACGATATTATTAATTATTGCACGTAAATCTTTTCCATCCGGGTTACCGGAAGTTATTTTGTGAAAAAGATTTGAATGCATGAATCTGAGGCTCCATTATCAAGTACGCAACCCTGATAAATGTTATTGACAATCATGAATGATACTGGATAATCAAACTGATACTGGATAATCAAACTGATACTGGATTATCATACTATCAACAACATGATGAGATAGAAGTAGCAACTTAAAATAAGATGTTTATGAGATGTAGTGATACTTTGTTTGACAAAATAACGCCAGTCTAACCTCCTGGGTTTTTCTCCGGGTCCTCCCACTGCTAAAGACACGTACACGTATTTGAAAAAATAAAAAAAACATACAAACAAAAACTCGACCCCCCACATCAGATTTTTACGAAAAATTATCGGAGAATCAGAATATTTTTGCTGTATGGCCTTAGTAAGGTTTGAAAACATAGAGATATTTCTCCTTTATAAACTGACCAATATTTTGCTTTTTAACAGCCTGCTTCATTGAAACAACAGGTTTGCTTCATGTTGTTTATTTGTATATTTTATTGTTATTTTTCTTGTCTGTTTATAATTTTTACTTCTGTTTTAAGAATATATTTGTTGTCCAATCTAATTAAAACACAGATCCTATTTCGTTTCGTTTTTTAGAGTTCAAAATTTCGTTTTACTTGTCTTTACTACACTAGTGTCTTGAAGAATTGTTACATAACGCGTGTTCTGGTTGATGTGAGGGATTAGCCAACGAAATGGTTTAGTGCAGGTATCCACTAGAAACATCAATGCTGATTGGTTAATCAAATGTCTTTTGTCATAGGGTCAAAAGCCACACGTATGACCCCTGAAACGACCTCCCACTACAACCGATAAGATCTTTATGTAGTGTAGGCCATCGAAAGTATAAAAAAAAACGAAACGAAATATAGATCTGTATTTTAGTCTGATTGATTTGTTGTCTGATGGTCTATATTTCTGTTATATTTTTGTGATTATTTTTTTTATTATTATTTCAATTTTTCTTTTGATTTTATCATTGTTCACTTTTTTTTTAAAAAAGTAGATAACTTTATTGTAAATCTTTATATATGTCGTTTTTTTGTTAAATGTTCTAATACAGTATCTTCTATATCATAGACAAGGTCTTATTTTTGGCATGCAGTCCATTTTTTTTCTTTTTACGGAAATGAAAATAATGTTCTTGTCAACTAAAACTATAATAAAGTCATCGTCACCCGTGTGACAGTTATAAAATTTTGTTTTAGTAATATAAGAAATCAAATTAGTATTTTACATAAATTTAAGATGATGAACCCTCTTTATTTGGGTAAAAAAAGCCTTGATTAAGGCTTTAGCACTTGGATCATTCACCCAAACTACCGCTTCCTCTAGCGCCTCAAACCACCCGAGTGGTTAAAGATGCATTATGTAAGAGATAAATCTGCCTACTGCAGGTCTTTTTACTGGCTTGAAATGTTAAATAAACTATTATTTAGACATTTATTCACATAACAAGCCCTTAATCAACTCTCTGTGTCATCGGATGGCTCTGATTAGAACACAGCCGCGATTTAAGTGTTTAACGATGGAATAGATAATCAGGACTAAGTCTCAATTATCAAGTGCCAAAGCTATGATAATAAACACTCTATGCTAAATGCTGTCATAATTTCAAACACACATAACTTCCCACAGAATAAACTTATTTAACTGAAATTTTAAAGATACTGGTATTCATTTTTCATTATCTATTTTTGAGCTGTTATAGCAAGGCCGGCCAGCTCTTTATCTAAATCTTACATAATGTATCTTTAAGGATTATATACTACATGCTATATTTGTGACTTGGGTAGTCTAGGGAGCTGTAGTTTTAGGTTTGAATGACATCTATATTTTATTCCTGCAGTGAGTATAGATCAGTGGTTCTAAACCTTCTTTTGCCAACGGCACACCTTGGAACACATAAAAAAATAGGGGCACACCTGGCTAAATATATATGAAAATTATTTTAATTTTGCAAAATAAAAACATGGCAAGTCATAGACAGCATACAACCGTAGACAGAGACTATAGTCATAGACACATAGAATGACTCAAACTAAATAAAGAAAAACACAGCTATGATCCTATCAGTAGGCACCAGTGAATACTCAATTGGGATCACATGGTTTTTTGCATTTTCTTGGTGTGCCCTTTTAAAATTTCGTGGCACACTGTTTGAGAATCACTGATATAGATGAATATATAATATCTATATTTTATACCTGTAGAGAATTACAGATGAATATATATATAATATCTATGTATTATTCCTGTGACAGGTGCCCTATTTCCAGGTTTAAATGTAATATCTATATTTTATTCCTGTATAGATGAATATATATAATATGTATATTTTATTGCTCTATTTCCAAGTTTAAATGTAATATCTATATTTTATAGGTGGTAAATGAATTGGCATCATCAGCAGGTCTAGCATGTGATATTGATCCTACATTATGTAATGCTCTCAGAACATTGAAGAGTGGTAAGTTTTATACATTACTAATACCAAGACTTCATCTAGAACAAGGGTTCCCAAACTTTTTCATCCTGTTTACCACTTGAAAGTAAATTTACTTTTAATTAATTATAACACTAGAAGAACTAGATAATTACTTCATGTGTTTAACACATGGCACAATATATGGCATACAAGTTATTTAATAGTTTATTTCTCACGATCAGACTTTTCTCGTCTCTATCAAGCAAAGAAACATCGCTTAGTTTTTCGTACCATCTGAATGACTATACATTGTCCTTTGCATTTGTCTTACACAACTGACAAGGGGGGAACCTCACCGGATTAACTTTCTTGGCCAACACCGGGTTTGAAGACGGGACCTCTAGATTAACGAGCCAACGCCTTACTCACTGAGCCACTGCAACTTCTCACAAATTTATGAGTTACTAGCAGATGACCCGGTTGAAAGTAGTATAACTCTGGAAGCGGAACGCCACCCGGTCAGAGCTACCCCTATACACAAAATTTCAGCCTCAGAACAACCCTAGTGTATCCGCAAACTCGGACAGACAAACAATCAACAGTCACAAATATTAGTACAGATGATATTAATGGTTTTTACTGATGTTTATTTGTTTATTTGTAGAACATGCTGAAGATGAATATAATTTGGCCTGTCTATTAATGGTGTTTGTAGCTGTATCTATACCTAAATTAGCCAGAATGGATTCTTCAGTATTTAAAGCTTCATTAGAAGGTAGGAATAAACATTTTAACACCTTAAGGTAGGAATAAACATTTTAACACCTTAAGGTAGGAATAAACATTTTAACACCTTAAGGTAGGAATAAATTTTGTCTACGATATCAGGCCCAATGAATGAACGAACAATATGAATAAACATAGGGTAATATCAATTTAATACAAGAGCAAAGGGTATTCTACTCAAGGTAACACTTTTAGGGGATGGATCATGTTTGAGCCAGCAACATACTGACAGAGGCGTAGCCGTGAAATATATATTGGGGGGGGTCCGCAACCCTAACCCCTAACCCTAACCCTAACCCATTTTTTAAAACCCCTAAAAAATATAAACAAACACCATGTGGCCATGCTGTCTACCAAGACACCGCGTGCAAAAGCATTATGGTTACGTTGCTGGCTGAGCGGGCGATAAATATTTGGTTTAGGCGGTTATGTTTTTGGGTACCTACATGCGATTCACTCTGATAAGTGGCAGAAAAAAATTAACAAAATATTACTGACAGGCTAACTAGACACAATTTTATGGAACACAGGTACTTTTCACTTCACACATGTTTCCAGGATGATTATCTCTGTGTTTTATTTTAGCAGTATAAACCATATTGGGATATGTACAGGTTTTATACAGATAGAATCTTAACTAATCCTAATAATTTTTGTAAATAAATAGGAGTTTGGGCCTACTATGTAAATTTTTTGGGGGGTCCATGTGTATTCAGACCCCCCCAGAAAAACAATGTGTGACGCTCATGCATACTGACCAAGCCAGCATGGTTTTTTTACCAAGTGAAATGAAATGTAGTTTAACATCCTACTGTTCTGCTTCGACTGGGCTAATAAAGACAGGGTTAACACATGGTTTCTCTTTGAAAGAAATGACTTAATATCCATTTAGATAATGAATTACTTTTTTCCAGGACATCAGAATAACAGTCATTGTTTAGCTAAAGCTATAAATGCTCTAGCAGGTGCCATGTTTACTATTTATGGTCCCGGTGACGTGGAAGATAGATTAAAGGAATTTCTTGCTGTAAGTTACCTCATTAATTAATAGAAGATAAATTTCCTAATATAACAAATCACTGACTGACAGAATAAAATTTAGTAGCCATGTTTGGAAAGAGTTATGAGAGTTTTAGCTCGAGGGCGCGTTGTTTTTAAGTTGTTCCTTAATAGTTGTAAGTCATAAGTTAAAGATGCATTATGTAAGAGCTAAATCTGCCTATTGTATCTCTTTCTTATGGCTTCAAATGTTATATAATTTATTAATTATACATTTATTCACATGATAAGCTCATAATCAACTCTCTAGACTATCAGATGGTTGTGATTTTTAACGGATTGAAATCCTATCACCGGTTAATAATTTAATCTTTGTTCATTATCGTAACAATGGTAGCAATAAAAACAGTCATAACTTCACTGAGAAAAAAGTAATTTGACTGAAATTTCAATATATTCCATTTTCATTATCTATTTTTAAACTATTGTAGCATGAACTATCAGCTTTGAAGTCGTAACTTTGAAGTGGTGGTACTAACTCCAAATTATAGCTGATAGTTTTCAAAAATGCTTTCTCAAACTCGTACAAAATCGATTATTATCAGTAGCTAGTTTGGATAAATGTGTTATTAATATATATTTTATTTTCCAGTTATTAATATATATTTTATTTTCCAGTTGGCTTCATCAAGTTTATTACGTCTAGGACAAGAACATGATAAAGATACAATTAAAAATCGTGAATCAGTCTATCTTCTCTTAGATCAAGTAAGTAGCAGGACCATTTTGTTATTTCTATTTTTACCCTGAGGCAGGACCATTTTGTTATTTCTATTTTTACTCTGAGGCAGGACCATTTTGTTATTTCTATTTTTACTGTGTGATGCTAGTCTCCGCTTACATTCCCTTCTCTTATATCAAGTAAGTGGCGGTACTATTTTGTTATTTCTATTTTTACCATGTGATGATGGTCACCGCTCACATTCCCTACCCTTATATCAAGTAATTGGGAAGACCATTTTGTTATTTCTATTTTTACCATGTGATGCTGGTCTCCACTCACATTCCCTTCTCTTATATCAAGTAAGTGGAAAGACCATTTTGTTATTTCTATTTTTACCCTGAGGTGCTAGTCTCTATTCACATTCCCGTCTCCTAGATCAAGTGGGGGGTTTGATGACCGAATGGTTAGTGTGTGCTAAGGTCTGTCATTGATTCAAGAAGAGTGGTTTCGATTCCCAGGTTGTACGTGCCAAGGAGTGGGGTCGCCTGTCCAACCTCGTGGGTTTTCTCTAGGTCCTCCGATTTTCCCCCACTGCTAAAGACCCCTACGTGCAAGCGAATTATTGAAATAAGGTTGAACCATATGTAAGTTCCGAAATGACCTAGTTTGTGTTTAGTGGATGTTAAACCCCATCTCTCTCTCTCTCTCTCTCTCTCTCTCTCTCTCTCCCCTAGATCAAGCAAGTGGGAAGAACCATGATTGTTGTTTCTATTTTTAAATCAGGGTCTGTGTGAGACTAAAGTTTCAATCTGACCATTTTCCAGAAGCCTTTCAAAAGATATCATTTCATCCTTTCTTTTTATTTTAGATTGTTCAAGAATCTCCATTTTTAACGATGGATCTGTTGGAATCGTGCTTCCCATACGCTTTATTACGTAACGCGTATCATAGTGTATACAAGGCTTCTGCTGCAGATTAAAATACACAGACGAAGAAATTGTATAAATTGGACATTTATTTATCCGCAACACCTCAGTATAATATATTCCCCATTAAAATACAACAGATAGTATTTTTCAAATTACTAGATATTCTTTCCACAGGTCCGCAAGACCTTGGTATAATATATTCCCCATTAAAATACAACAAATAGTATTTTTCAAATACAAGTATATTGTAAAATTGTCCCTTTCATTTCACACATTTTGTTTGAATATCTTCTTTTTTTTTTCACCCACATTTTGAAAGATTCTAAAATATTGTAAAATTGTCCTTTTCATTTCACACATTTTTTTCACCCACATTTTGAGAGATTCTAGAATATTGTTAAATTGTCCCTTTGTTTCATTTCATACATTTTATTTGAATATCTTCTTTTTTTTATTCACCCACATTTTGAGAGATATTAAAATTTAAGTATTAGTCCCCCGATGTTGTAATTAACCATTTTGGAATCAGTGGAAACCTTCTGTATAATAATTATTATAGAAATAATTTAGACCTTTGTATAGGATAACACAACACAACAATCACTATATTATATACACACAACGTTTTGACAAGATTTCACTGGTTGTTTTGGGGTTATTATGTTCAATCACTAAATGCCATTCAAAGATTATAACTTTGTATAGGAGTCAATAATATTACAAATTTTAATATATCGAAACAGGAAAACCATTTATGTTTATTATTTAGTGTTATAGAAGGTCTTCCTCTTAATTAGTAACTCTTACTCTACATGTAATATTGTTCTTATTTAAACTGGGGGAGGGATGGCTGAATGGTTAGCATGTTGTATCATAAGGTCTGTCATTGAGTCAACTGGCGTGGTTTCGATTCCCTGGTCGTACCTGACAAGGAGTAGGGTCGCCTATCCAATCTTGTGGGTTTTCTCCGGGTCCTCCAGTTTCTTCTGATTTCCTCCCACTGCTAAAGACCACTACGCACAAGCAAATTATTGAAATAAAATTGAACCATATATTAGTCCTGAAATGACCTAGTTTGTGTCCAGTGGACGTTAAACCCTATTTCTCTCTCTCTCCCATGATGAAAATCCAACCTCGTGGGGTTTTTTCCAGGTCCTCTGAATTCTAAAGACCCCTATGTGCAAATGAATTGTTATAATGAAATTGAACCATATGTTGGCCCCCGAATGACCTAGTTTATGTCTAGTGGACATTAAAAACCCCATTTCTATCTCCCATAATGACAACATGTCTGACTGATGAAAATGCTTTGTTTGCGATAACACCGTTGATGGAAGCAGACGAAAAGCCCAATAAACGAACAATGTACCTGCAGGACAACATTAAAATAACATGTGACCAATGACCTCTAAGTCAACCGGTGTAGTGTTTGAGCCGACGGCAGAGTCGAATAGTGGATAGCAAGACTTGTGTGGATGTGTGGAGAATGTAAAATAACATGTAAATGACGTCTAATTGTATATTTGACCATGTTTTGAACATGAATGATGGGACCACAGAAGATCGTTCTTTCATATGACTGATTAGTTGTGTTTTAAAGGACAATATTGGTGCCAGTCATTATCATATTCGCCCATGTATCTGTTATCACTCGTCACTTCAGTCAGTTATATAGAGGGATAACTCGTGTTTTCCTTTGTTGAAGCATTGATTACGCATCTATCGTAGCAATGATCTCTGTGTTAAAATAATATTTGGAATGTGTTTAACCAGTTCTATCACATATGTGATAATGACTGACACCAATATTGTCCTTTAAGAATAAAAATGTGTTCGTTATATTTTAGATGAGTAAGTTATGTGTATGTTGCATCATGGAACAAACTATTGTAAAACAATTTTATATCATCTCATATGTTAATTTCCTTAAAATAATGTATTTGTAAATTTTTTCGGTGTTTTAGTTCTGGTAATACACAGGTCACAATTCTATGGAATACAATTACTGCTTATTACTGAGTGACCTTTCCACTCATTATCAAGTTTCTACTTGGAGACACGGTGGCTCAGTGGGTGAAGGTGCTCGCTTACCAGGAGACATGGAGGCTCAGTGAATAAGATGCTGGCTCACTAAAACCAGGAGACACGGTGGCTCAGTGAGGTGCTGGCTGACTAAAACCAGGAGACACGGTGGCTCAGTGAATGAGGTGCTCGCTCACTAACCAGGAGACATGGTGGCTCAATGAGTAAAGTGCTGACTAACTAACCAGGGGACACGATGGCTCAGTGAGTAAGGTGCTCCCTCACTGACCATGAGACATGGTGGGTCAGTGAGTAAGGTGCTCGCTGGCTAACCAGGAGATATGGTGGCTCAGTGTATAAGGTGCTTGCTTGCTAACCAGGAGACATGATGTCTCAGTGAATGAAGTGCTCGCTCACTAACCAGGTGACATGATGGCTCGGTGAGTAAGGTGCTCGCTCACTAACCAATGAGATCTGAGGTTCATTCCCAGTCCTGGCCAAGAAAGTTCTGTAGGATTTTCCTGCATGGCTTCCACTGGTCAGTAGTGAAGGATAGAGGAGCTGGCTTGGAACAGTGTCTGGTCATTAATATTAGGATGGGACAAAAAAAAAATGAGGTAGCGCCGCTGTCTGGGCAAAATTTCCCTCTGGCAGTAGTGCACTGCGTGGCATATGCCTGTCTTCATTATTCATTTTTTGTCCTACACCACTGACAAGGGGGATCTACTTGATAAGACAGTGGTTAAATTCCATATAATTGTGTTCTGTGTAAATTATAGATCTATTAGCAAATTATGGTTCGCAGTACGTGAAATTTAGATACGAGGCCTAACGAAAATAAAGCACAATGCCCTTTTGTAAATGATAATTAAGATAGTCCTTTAATGTAGTCATTCTTCATATGTTAATTTTTGTCTGATGGTGCTTTAGTTTTTGATATATGTTTTTTTTATAAATCATAGTAATATTTATAGGTACAGTTAATGAATTTTCTTACCGTATATTATTTTGTAAATTATGTAAAAAGCATGCAGTAATAAATATATTATTTCCATTTACGTATCATTTTGAAATTATCAGAACAAGGTTCCAAAAGGTAAACATATATGTAGTAACGTAGAGAGGTTCGGTGATTACTGGTGGCATCTACTTTTCTGCTCCGACTCATCACCTACGAATGGCTCAATGTTTGTCAGTGGATTGGAATGGGATTCAAATTCAAAGTGGATGGGGGGTGGGGGGATGGCCTAGTAGATCTAGCTGGCGTGAGCGTATATGGCTTGGAGATAGGGGCACCTTCTCAACTTTACTTTGTGTACTGCGGGTTTTTGCTACAGGAAAGACTCTGCACATGTGCTAACTATAATAAAATAAGATAACTTGTCTGCGATATCACCATAGGTGGAAGCGGACGTTAATCACTAATACAAGAAGAAAGGGTTCATAGTCTCGTCAACACAATACTTAGTGAATATTGTCGGGTCAGTTGTATTTCTGTCTCCTGTTTTGGAATTACAACTGCCAAGGTTAATTTGAACTCAGTTTTTTGTGCCATCCCAATAAAGACCATTTGTTCTTTGTCAGCAGTCCTGTAATTTGGTAACCGGGATTGTAATGGGGTTTAAAGTGGATATAAGATGGGCGAGAAAACTTTTTGTGTACGTATAGCCAATGGTTACTATATCCACTTTACGGCAAGTTCACACCAATCTGATTAAAATTAATTCGGCTATTAATGTTTAAGTATCTGAAACACCAAACCGCTTTACAATTTTTCAATAGGTTTTTCATCTTATGTGCTCTTTAAGTTAAACCGTTTAACGTCCGCCTGTTCTGCTCAACTGGGCCAAGGTGGGCATACACCATACAGTGTGCTACAAGGGAAATTTGCCCAGACATCGGAGCTATAGTCTACTGTTATATCAAATTCTAACTGCCAAGGGTTCTTATACATTCCGGATGTTAAACCCCATTTCATTTCTTATACATTCACCCCATGGTGTGCACAAGACCTCGGTTTTTCGTCCCATCCAAATGACTCTATACGTTGTTCCTTGCCAGGCCCTCCATCCTGCACAAATGACAAGGGGGAACCACGCAAGTAAAGTCCTAGAACAGGATTTTGGATAGTACATTTAAGTTGCGTAAGTGACATCAAACCCCCCGTAAATCACGGCTTCGCCAACTACTGCCACTGATAAACCAACTGTACACATTATTTGAATATATTTAATTTTATTGTAGACGATTTTATACATCAAGATAGAAATGAAATATGGAATATCCCAATAAAAACAAATGAGCACCTTATTTCAAACATTTACAAAGTGGTTAATGATTTATATATATATATATATATATATATATATATGTGATATCTATCTGATTAAAACACTGATCCTATTTCGTTTCGTTTTTTTTTTATAGTTCAAAATTTTGTTTTACTTGTCTTTACTACACTAGGATCTGGAAGAGTTGTTATATAACTGGCGTTTTGGTTAGCGTGAGGGATTAGCCAATGAAACGGTCTGTTGCGACTTCTTGGCGTGCCATGCACGGAACTGTGGGTAAACCACTAGAAAACTCAATACTGATTGATTAATCAATGTCTGACATCATAGGGTTAAAAGCCAACACACGACCTTCCGCTACAACCAGTCAGATCTTTATGTAGTGTAGGCCATCCATAGTATAAAAAAACGAAACCAAATATAGATCTGTATTTTAATCAGATTTCTGTGACATATGCATTTCACATGTGCATACAGCATGTGAAATAGTGACAGCAGACAGGCTTGTTCAATCAGTAGGCCTGTTACTCTCTTGTTCAAACAAAAAACTGATTAGGTCCATGACCTGGATAGTTGTGACTATTACTAGTGTTAGTCTAGTTTTTCCAGTTACTTATAGCTGTATCAAAAAAACCTAGGTCATTAACATTATCTGTTTTTCAATAATACAAGAGTTATACTGATTGAACAAGTCTGTAGTAAAATCCAGACTCTCTACAATAATATCTAAATGAATTATTTACAAATATATTATGGTAAAAACAGATTATCTACACCATGACGATTAAAATAAATTTCTAAAATATTTAATGGACGATAATAAAGGATCAAGGCATCATTTAGTGCTATAAGAAATTCATTACAAACTACAAAGTTATGATAAATTAAAATTTCATCGATCTATGTTGGCATCTTTTATCGGTAGCAGGGAATCCAACTGAATCCAAGCTAAGAGATTATCTAGCGTTGACATTTTGATTTTGTTTTCTTAATTAAATGCTAAATATTCAATCTGAGTACATATTTAGCTGTGAGAAAATTGATAATTTAGTGTAATGAAAATGATGAATCAAGCCTTTAACTTATTCAATACAAAAACATATATAGGCCATTAGTTCAACTTTAGCACAAGTTATGATATTGGATGTTCGTGGGTGCTTCCTTTACTAACCCATCCTGTAGGCTAAAAATTTAACTCGGAGCCCATCATGATATCTAACGTACAGATTTAAAAAAATAATTAACGGTAAACTAATGCTGATAAAAAAACATGGAATTTTAAAAACATTACTTTTTCATTTGTTCATGTAACAGATTTTTTTCAGTTACCCTTTGATTATGAAGCCGTTGCCATGAATTTTTAAATTTTGATATTTTAAAAGGAAATGATTGTATGTAATGGTATTTAGAAATAAATATCAAGTTGGTTGGACCCTGATATCAGCTTCTATTATTTCTAATAAATATTTTGAGAACAAAAAGCTAGAAATATTTCTTCTTCTTACGACACAGTAAATGAGAATCACTTTTCTACGTACAAATGAAATAAATGCGTAGTTCATCTTGATCAAATAAAACCCTTGTAATTCTAGGAAAAATATAAACGGCTCGAAGATCATCTTATCAATTTATAATCACATGTATTTAAAAAATATCTAATTACTCCATTTATCCTTTAAAAAAAATTTAATTCATTATTCCTATTTTCTTTAATTCAAGAAAAAACTGTTGGAAGATAGGGTTTTTTTTAAAATAGTCAACTGTATTCAAAATTTCTGATTACACCATTTATGTCATGTAACCATGGTGATGTACATGTACCATCACACTAGAGTTATCACCCTTGTATCCCACAGTAACTATCTATATCTACAGGTTGTATATGGAAAGGTTAGCTGTATATCCATTATTTATGTTGTGGAATATGTTTTAAAATGTCTGTTGGTTTTGAATAATTAATAACTGTGGCCACCCCGTACTCCGATGGGACTTAATGCGAATCCAATGGCGATATATAAAACAAGGGATAAAACGATGGTGATCATTCCCATGAGAAAAGCGTGGTTACTCCATTTATACGCATATTTTACATCTCCCCTTTCATAAGATCTGATGGACATGTCTGAAAAACAAAAAGTTATACTTTACTTTATATATTAACGAAAAATGAAGTGAAATGAAATTGGGTTTGACGTCCTACTTTTCTGCTCCAAACTGGGCTAATGAAGATGGGCATACACCATACAGTGTGCTATGAGGGAAATTTTGCCCGAGCAGCGGCACTATACATGGCATACTCTTATATCGAATTGCAACTGTCAAGGGATATTTTATGTGCATGCCAATGTATACACAGGACCTAATTTTCTGTTCCATCCGAACGACTAGACAGCTCTCCTTGTCAGTTTCTCCGTCCTGCACCACTGACAAAGGGAAACCAAGTCCGAACATCCTGATGAACTTTCTCGGCCAATGCAGGGATCACCAACAAGAAAAACCAGGTTCAACGTCCACTTGACACAAACTACATGTAGGTCATTTCTGAAATATTGTTCAAATTTATTTCAATAATTTGCTTGTTCTTTAGCCGTGGAGAAAACCGGAGAACCAGGAGAAAACCAATCAGGTTGGACAGATGACGCTACTCTTTTCATATACAAGCAGGGAATCGAAACCACGCCACGTGACCCAATGACAGAGAGATAGAAATGGGGTTTAACGTCCACTCGATACAAACTAGGTCCTTTCGGGACAAACATATGGTTCGATTTTATTTCAATAATTCGCTTGCGTGTAGGGGTCTTTAGCAATGGGAGGAAACCGGTACCCACGAGGTTGGACAGGCGACCCTAATCCTTGTCACGTACAACCAGGGAATCGAAACCACGCCAGATGACTCAATCACATCCAACCCCGACTCAATGACAGACTTTATGATCTGACATGTATGCTTTAACCATTCGGCCACTCCCGCCCCCCCATCATAAATATAAAGGAATACTTACAGGCAAATATAAGAGCCACGAAACCAATCAGTGGGTTTAAAATAGTAACACATATAGCCAGGGGGAGATAACTATGAGGCTGTGGTCCAATATATTGCCCTTGAAATATTGCTGGATGACTGTATACTGGATCTCGTGTCACCAGAATCTGTTTGGACGGTGTACGATACAAATCTCCACCGACAGGGGTCGTCATTCTGAAATAAAAATATAAAATATTATCCTAAACCAATTTTACCTTTTTTCTTACAGTATTTCCCAGAATAAAACCATTGCAAATTATACTTTACTTTCTATACTAACGAGAAAAATAGGGTTCAGCATCCACTCGACACAAACTAGGTCATTTCAGGACTAACATATGGTTCAATTTCATTTCAATAATTGGATTGATCATAGGGGTCTTTAGCAGTGGGGTGAAACCAGAGGACCCAGAGAAAAACCATGAGGTTGGACAGACAACGCTACTCCTTGTCACGTACAACCAGGGAGTAGGGGCGTCTGTTCAACCTTGTGGGTTTTCTCCAGTTCCTCCGGTTTCCCCCCACTGCTAAAGACTCCTACGAGCAATCCAATTATTGATATGAAATTGAACCATATGTTAGTCCCGAAATGACCTAGTTTGTGTTGAGTGGATGTTAAACCCCATTTCTCTCTCTCTTGTATCAAAAGGCCCTTCAGAATGCAATTTCTAAGCAAATTTGGGAGTTGTAAACAAATCCACTATTATTTCAATTCATATCACAAAAATTTATATCAATA